CAGTCGTCATTGTTGTTTGGCGGGTCCGGGCTGGGGATTCGAACCCGCCACCTTAGGTGTACGTGGCTGGCGCCTTAGCCGGTTGAGCTATAGGCGCTGGGCCTCTCCTTGTTTTCTTAATCAGCATAAAAACTTAGTTCTCTATGCTTTTGAATCCCTGGGATGAACCAGTGAGCAGGGATGATTCCTACCTCAGGTGGAGAAAGCCTCTGTGTCACCTGTGTCCAGGTTCAGGTAGAACGGGGAGGGGAAAAGGCCCTGGAGGACAGCTTGGTCTCCACTGAGTGCAGCCTTCAGAAGCCAGAGGCGACACTTTGCCCCTCCCACCACACAGTACCTCAAACCAGCTGGGCACACATCTGCCAAGGCCCCCAGGAGGTGAGAATCCCTGGAGCTCCCAAACCTAATAATTGCTTCAGTAACATTTGGTGAAGACTATAAATTTTTAAAAAGTTGTAAATACAATGAGGGAAGTATTTCCTGTATTTGAAGTCTCGTCATTATACCTCTTAGTGCAGCTAAACAAAGTGGTGCTATAGACACCTGGCCATGGAATGAACTCATGCACCATTAGTTGTTACCTGCTTTGTGTTGCTGTCTGCCAGCACGATTAGCAGCATAAAGACTCAGCCCTTGTTGTTTGAGGGCTTCAAGCCTGCAGGATGACATAAGATATAGTCTATCAGTGCACGTGACCAGCACCCTAACCGTTGAACATGGGCACCAAGCCAAGGGAAAGGAAGGATTTTTTTTTTAGGGAGCATTTGACTAGAGTCTTGAATAATGGGAGAGAATTTGGATATCAAGTAGGGATGATGAGCATTTTATTATAGTTGGAGACATGAGTAATGACAAGGACAGTGATAACACTGATCCTGTCAGGGATGGCTAACATTTACTGGCCATTCACTGTACATTCACTAGGCACCATGCTAACACCATACTTGCAGGATTTCATTTCATGTTCACGACACACCTAAGGGTGACTAGAATTAATCCTTCACTGTCCTCCCTGCCCCCATTTTAGAGGTAAAGAAGCTGAGCTCAGAGAGGTTAAGTAATTTGCCCAAAGACACAGCCAGTGAGCATCAGAGCAAGGATTGGAGCAAAGTCCTTTAGAAGGGACAGTGCAGGTAAAATTAGATGAATGGTGAGCAGTTTGGTTTTGCTGGAGTTTAGGGGATGGAAGATACAGACAATAGGCGGATTGGGGCTAGATTATGGCTCCTTGTCTCCAGGCCAAAACTGTGTATAAGTAACAAAATTAACCAATCCTTAAAAATCTTCAGTAATGAAGTGAGCAGATGCTGTGTGAGGCAGTCTAAAACATTTGCTGAAATCAAAATTACTCTAAGAAAGGGTGGGTATGGTGGTTCACACCTGTAATCCTAGCACTTTAGAAAGGCAAACTGAGAGGATCACATGAGGCCCGGAGTTTAAAACTAGCCTAGGCAACCTAGTAAGACCCCAACTCTATAAAAAACAGAAAAATTAGCAAGACATGGAGGGATGCACCTATAGTCCCAGCTACTTAGGAGGCAGAAGCAAGAGGACTGCTTGAACCCAAGCAATACAAGAGGATTGCTCACTGAGGTTGCAGTTAATGATGATGACACCACTGCAGTGTAGCCCACGCAAAAGAGCAAAATCCTGTCTCAAAAAGAAAAATTACTCTAAGAAAGTCAAAACCCGGCTCGGCGCCTGTGGTTCAAGCGGTTAAGGTGCCAGCCACATACACCTGAGCTAGCAGGTTTGAATCCAGCCCAGGCCTACCAAACAACAATGATGGCTGCAACCAAAAAATAGCCAGGCGTTGTGGCGGGCACCTGTAGTCCCAGCTACTTGGGAGGTGGAGGCAGGAGACTCGTTTGAGCCCAGGAGTTGGAGGTTGCTGTGAGCTGTAATGCTACAGCACTCTACCAAGGGTGACAACTTGAGGCTCTGTCTCAAAAAAAAAAAAAAGAAAGAAAGTCAAAACCCAATCATTTCATGTTTAAGTGTAAAATTATATTTATAGCACAGTTACACAGGTAGCAGTGACATTTGAAGAGATTCATACCAATTCAATAGGGCTTCATTTATTCATGTAAATATTTAACTGAAACTTTTTTTTTTTTGAGACAGAGTCTCAAGCTGTTGCCCTGGGTAGAGTACTATGTTGTCACAGCTCACAGCTCACAGCAACGTCAAACTCTTGGGCTCAAGTGATTCTCCTGCCTCAGCCTCCCAAGTAGCTGGGACCACAGGCTCCCGCCACAACGCCTGGCTATTTTTTTTGTTGCCATTGTTGTTTTAGCTGGCGCAGGCTGGGTTCGAACCTGCCAGCCTTAGTATATATGGCTGGTGCCCTACCCACTGAGCTAATGGGCACTGCCCTAACTGAAACTTTTAAATCCACAATTAGACTCTAAACCTTGGAATAAAAAACATAAAGGCTTCACCTAACCCATGGATTAAAAACAAGCACTATGCATAAGGAAGACCTATTTTATGTGTGATCACTTCTCCTTATGGCTTTTATGCTATAGGTCAATTTCCAGCCAAATCCTGCGCATGATGCATGGTGGGCAAGTGACATCTGATATAGGACACTGTACAACAGTACGGTGTCCTACTAAGACACTAGTGGAGCATATTAGCTATGAGAACTTTAGCAATCAGATAGCTCTCTAAGCTTCTGTTTATCTGTAGAAAGGCAATAGTAATACTTGCTTGACAAGGTTGAGTAAGAATGAAATGAGATAAATATTTCAAATTTTTTCTTTTTTTTTTTTTCTTAGAGACAGAGTCTCACCTTGCTGCCCTCAGTAGAGTGCTGTGGTGTCACAGCTCACAGCAACCTCCAACTCCTGGGGTTAGGCAATTCTCTTGCCTCAGCCTCCTGAGTAGCTGGGACTACAGGCACCCACCACAATGACAATACCTGGCTATTTTTTTTGTTGCAGTTTGGCCGGGGCTGGTTTTGAACCCACTACCCTGGGTATATGGGGCTGGCGCCCTACCCACTGAGCCACAGGCGCCATCCAACATTTCAAGTATTTAGTACTGTGTCTGCCAACCTATAATTCCCTAATGCAAGGTAATTAATGTTATATTCAGCCTATTAGTGAGAGAGTGAGAGATGCTGTTTTATTGTATACTTAAGAAGCATAGGTTGATTCTCTATACTTGTGGGTATATCAGTTAATTCCCTGACTTTTAAATAAATGTTTCTTTCTATTTTAACTAGCTCATGGACCCAATTCTTAGAGGGCTTAGCTGATTTCTTTTCAGCACGTGGTCTATCTACCCACCTCATTGTAATGTCTTTCCATCCCCTTCTAGTAAAGTCCACAGTTTCCACCACCATACATTTGGAGCTAAAATTGTCAAATAATCCTCAGAATTCAAGTTTATTGAATGAAACTGGGAAGAACAGTAAACAGACAAAAAAATGCATCCGCCTAAGTTTTTAAAATTCATATGCTTTACAAATTACAGTAATCATTTAGTTTTCAGTGCACAGGAAAATGCTGGTAATAGCAGCAGTGTTTAGATGTCTTAAGACTCTGAGAGCAATAAACAAACATACACATTCTAGTTTAGCTGTAGATCAATTAACAAAACATTGAAGTCCCCACTTTCTACTTCCAATTTTTCCTTTAAAGGACAATCAAGTTGTCACATATTTTTGTAATGGTTCATGTTGGGCAAATTACTTAACCTCTCTGAGCTCAGCTTCTTTACCCCTAAATTGGGGGCAGGGAGGACAGTGAAGGATTAATGATAGTTTTTCCAAGTTCTTATTCCATCTTTTTTTCCTTGAGGATTCC